TAACTAGATCGACACGGCTTTTGGATACGGCAGCGGTCGTGATAACCAAACTTGCGAGGCTATCAAAGGCTTGGCCAGGGCAGCATAACTAGTTGGCCTGCCTAATGATATCTCAGCTCGGTAGAGGCCGGGACCCGAAAGGACAGCCCCAATCTTCACCCCTCGGCTCGGCCAACAGCCGAGACGACCTAACATAGCAATTAAGACGACAATCGTGATTAACAAGGACAAACACGTGATTAGGGCATAATCAGTCGATTAGCACCATATTACCTAATTTGGTAAGTGTCAGAGGAGGCCCACCACGCTCAGGGCCCATCATATAACTAGTATAAATAGGTCATATAAAATGAGGTATATCACTGTTCATTTATTACCATCGAGATTCGTGCTTGTCCTGACTTGAGCGTCGGAGTATCTTTTACAAATACCCTCTCCCCTTGAAGCACCCGTCGAAAGCTCTCGTTTGACCCTCAGACTATCAGAAGATTACAAATGTGCCCTTGGACAAGTATAAATGACCTACAACACAGAACAAAACCATCATCTCATTTTCGCACTCTCTTCAACTTTCCCACCAACTTTGCCTCTCAATGTATTGCACAAGTTGGCTTCTCAACACTCACCAACTTTTTCTTCTTTTCTATTTAATTTTTGTCAATTTTTTTTCTTTCTTTTTTGTGAAAGATTCACTTATAATTTTTTTATCCATAAGAATTATAATAATAACACCAAAAATTTAAACTTAAAAATCTGTATATTATTCCAAACTTTCGTCATTAGACCGACTGTAATAGTCTGGTAGTTACAGCTGTCAAACCATTAAGTGCCCAATTCCACATGCGCGAGAAAATACCCATGCCTTGTTGCTTCTGTACAAATTGTGTCTCAAAACCATCCATGTCCATTAATCTATGTTTCTCCAGCAACTGTGGATTTTGTGATTCTGAGTTGTGGTGATGATCATGCAAATTTCTTTTTCCACAAGGATCAGTGAATTGAATATCTCCCCTCCCCATGCTATTTTCTCGTTTCAATACATGGATTCCACTTTTTATAAGGATCGGGACGGATGTCAAATTTTCATATGTAATCTCTGCATGGTTCCATTCATTTTCCAAAAGTTCTTCGTCCAAATTATCTTCCAGTTTCATCTCCTGAGGATCGAAAATACATGTATTATCCATTCCCATCCACAAATCCTCAAACAAAAACAAATGTTTATTGCCATTGATGGTCACGATGGCTCTAAACAAATATCCATCTTCTGGAGAGGAATACTTGCCCACTGGTCCTATAACAAGACAAATAGCTATGGCTGGGAATTTGTTACGGAACCAAAAAGAAATTGATGGTCCCTTTCTTTGACACTCAAACCACTCTGGAATCTTAGCTCCTGGTAAATAAAACACTGTGTTCCCAGCTTCATGCAGTTCCTGTTAGCCATAAATAATTCATAAAATTTAGTGTAGAAATTCTCTTTTATTAATTATATATATATATATATATATATTATTTATGAATGAATTAATTTAACTTTTAAAAAAGTTTCTTTTATTTTTTATTTTTCAGAAGTACTTATAGTTTTAGGACAGAAAAATAAAAAGAATAATTAAAATAAAAACTAATTTATATATGAATTAAAAATAAGATTTTAAAAAAATTAAAAGGAGTGTTTTTACAACATAGTTTCTCCATAAAATAATTTTAGATTATGAAAAAATCATTTAATTTTTCTTTGTTGTTTTAGAAGTACTTTTCAAAAAAATTTATCTAAATAAATTCTAAAAATATTTGTAGAGGAATTTAAACAAACATATCTTAAATACAGCATCAATGTCCAAATCATATACATAAGAAACAATACCTGACTCAGGAACATGCTTCTACATGAGGAAGTCAAGGATAGGCATTTTATTGCAGAGAAATGTTTCAAGTTTGGAGGAATCCCTCTAATTTCTTGAAGACGCTCACAATTATCCAAATAAAGCCTAGTCAAAAAGTTGCATTGTTTGATGCATTCAGGAATAACTGTGAAATTATTCGATGATAGGTCTAACTCTTTCACGTTGGCAAACCATGGGATAACTGTTGGAAAAAAATCATCTGATAAGTTGCAACTTCGGAGACGAAGACGTTGAACGTTTGAGAACACTGTGGTTGAGCTCACTCTTTTTGCACTCACTCCTCGCATCACATACAACTGCTGAAGCTGAGTAAGATTTTTAAATGAAAGGGAAATCTTTTTTATGCGAGTTTCTTCCAATCCATTTGGTGTTATGTTTTCCATCTTTCCTAATATTTCAGGAAATCTCTTGAGACCGATACAAAAAGACAATTCAAGTTGTTCAAGAGAGGTCAACTTGATGGGTGGAAAACTCTTAAGCTTGATGCAACCAAGACCATTCAAGATTTTAAGTTTTTCCAAGAAACCAACCGAATAGTGAACTGTAAACAAATTTTGACACAGCTGAAATGACAATTTTTCTAATTGTGGGAGACAGGATAAATCTGGTATCTGAGTTAAACACTGACACTTGTCAAAATTTAAACTTGTTAAATTCACGAACATCTGCAACATAAAACAAGGTGGGGGAAAAAAGAAAAAAAGAAACAAATCAATAAACTAAAAGTGAATTTTGTTAATATGTTAAAACACAAATATAGAATCAAATAAATAACAAAAAAACACAGAATCAAAATACCTGAATACACTTACCTTTTTCAATAATATGGCAGCCAACTCGAGTGATGAAAAGCTACTCTTGGGTAATTTGCATATCACAAGTTTTTTTGGGTGAAAATCAAACGGCAAATCCTGTGAAGGATATCTCCACCACTCCAATACTCTTAAAATGTTAGGAAGATGCTTGGGACCTTTGGAAAAATGACCACTTCTAATAATAAGTGTTTTGAGATTTTTCATCCGTTTGAAGGCATATCCGTCCCACTCTACTTTCTCAAATAAGGAGAAATCCATAAATATGATTTCAGTCTGACTAGTTCCCTTTTAACATAAGAATCATGAATCAACAGCAATACATTCAGATATAAATATACTATCAATATTCATATCTAAAGAAAAGTTATCATAAAAAAGTAATTATGACATGCATCAGCATTTAATAAACGAAAGTGATAATTCAAAAAGTTAAGATGAAAAACCAATCTACATGTATCAATTTTTTCACCTTATTTTCTTGTAAAACTTCAACTATATCCTTAGAGAACCATAACCTGCTACGCTTCCCAGGCTCTTTTGGTGATTCTTGCCGAACAATTTCTTTACCCATGTCCTCTATCAAGTCGTGTAGTGTCACCTTTCCATCAAAAGTAATCTTTATAAGAGATTTTTGAACCAACACTCCGATTTGATGTTTCATGCAATGGTCATAATGAGCATGAAGTATATCTTCAACCTCTGCTAATTCATATTCTTTGTAGCAACAAGCAATGTCAAGAAAAACACTTTGTTCATCTTCGTCCAAAGCATCATAACTTACTCTAAGTATCTCTTGAATCTCTTTATTAGGAATTCTTTCATACCGATTCAATGCACATTCCCATTGTTCAATACTTTTTCCAAATAAGTTGGAACCTATAACTTCTAAAGCCAGAGGAAGGCCAGAAACATAAGTTATTGCTCGATTCAAGACATCATGGTAACATGGGTCAAAATATTCCAACTTAAAAGCTTTCCAACAAAGTAATTGTAAAGCATGTTCTTTATTCAACTCTTTCAACTCATATGTTCTTTTAACACCGTGACATGCTAGTAACTGTTTGTCTCGAGTTGTGACGATGATTCTACTTCCATGACCAAACCAATCAGATCTTCCAACAATCGCATGTAACTGTTCCATTTTATCAACATCATCTACAATCAAAAGAACCTTCTTTTGCTGGAGCCTATGTTGTATTATGGAAATTCCTTGTTTCACACTCGTTAACTTAATCTCCTTCTCTCCAACTACTTCAGAAAGAAGGTTGCTTTGGACATGTTGTAAACCGTGTTTTCCTGCAGTTTCTCTCACATTTTCAAGAAAGCATAAAGCTTCAAAATGGTCAGCAATAGAATTACAAACTGCAACAGCGAGTGTGGTTTTACCAACGCCACCAAGCCCATGGATCCCTACCATGTGGACGACATCATCAGATCCAATGTCCAAAAGCAACTTTACTCTTAGCACTTGTGACTCTAGTCCAACTGGATAATCCGCCACATGTAAAGGAGCACGATTAATCTTGCTAGAGACCAATTCAACTATTTCCTTAATAAACTCAAATTCATACTTGACCCTATTAAATAAGAGAAGATTGTGAGAAGTTAGACTAAAGGCCTGATGTTAATGTCTTTATATATATTCAACTCTTAAAATTTAACATTAAATATAACTCATCAAGTAAAAAAATCAAAGAATTAAAATAAAATAAGTTAAAAGTTTGATGAGGGTACCCCTGTTTGAAATGATAGCCAGACAAGTTAGCTGCCTGATGCATAGCCATCTTCCATTCCTCCAACTTCTTTGTGTTATGCTGAAAACCCTTATTAACGTTGAACTTCTTCTCATAATTAGCCAAAGCTTCTCCAAAACTACCTCTGTGGTGTCGTGCATCAGAAGGATCCACGTAGTAAAAGACAGGCAAAACCAACAAACCTTTACCCTTAACGAGCTTAAGGATGTAAGCTAGTTCGTTTAAGCAAAAGGAGGAAGATGCATAGTTTTGAGAAAGCACAATGATAAAAATTCTGGACTCTTGAATTGCTTTCTCAAGGGCCAACGTGATTTTGTCCCCTCTCCGGAGTCCCTTGTCATCGATGAAGGTGTGAATTCCCTTGTCCCGAAGGGCATTATAGAGATTGCCGGTAAAACCATAACGAGTATCTTTCCCTCGGAAACTGAGAAACACATCGTAGGTGAATCCATAGGAAGATAAGGATGATTGCATAGCCATGAGATGAGAACTGAGAAGAAAGTTAGTATGATTTTTGATCGAGTTTGGATCTCCAATGTCAAACAAAAACACAAAGTTATGTGCATTAAACAAAACAAATAATGCAATGCAGTTTGAAGATGTAACCAATAATAATAAAGTATTTTGCCAACCTCTCAATGACGTCTGGTCCGAGTGGGATATTTGTATTTATCTCGCGAATGGATTTAGAAATTTTGTATAATAATAAAGCACGTACTGTCATGTTTTACTTTTAGAAATTAAACTTGGGATTTATTGATTTAATTCAATAGCATCTCCTTCCAGAAACCTTCCACGGAGACTATAATATTTTTCTGTCTTTCGAGTTAGTTGCTCTTCTAATAACATGCATTGTAAAACTATTTTTTTTTATCTCGGTGAACTAGTAACTACTGCATCAGATTACAGCACAAGAGATTAACTTGTGACAGTTGCTTCATATTATCATCATTAATACCCATCAAGACAAAAGAAGTTGAAGCAGATCATCTTCAAGGCTTTTACCTTAGAATACATATAATTTTATGACATACGATGAATTACGCGCGAGAGTAATTCCTTTTTCTTTTTTTTTAAATATATATATATTAGATTAATATGCTATGTTGTTAAGAAAATAAGTCCTATCTAATTTACATATATCTAATTTATAAATATACTTATAATATGACTGACTATATAACAGCAATAAATTACAAATTAACTTTTTCATAGTAAGAAAGCAATATGGTGTCTGACATGGTTAGAAAATAATTATCTTTTTAAGTGTGTGGTTGGAGATTTGATCCTCAAATTTTTGTGTATGAAAATAACTGTGGGGAGAGGTCGATCCCATAAATAAATATTAGTCATGTCTTCTAGTCAGTAGTTAACAGTGCAGTAACTTGACCTAATTAACTATTACATGTTACAGTAAAATGTGAACAATAAAGGATTGATTATTCCAAATTTGGTTCTTTACTCCCCACCAGGTTTATACCAAAACAATTATTCATCTTCATTTTGGTAGAATCATTTTAAAGAGATTGAAGATGTATTGTCCCATTTTTTTAAAAATAAACAAAAAATAAATTAGAATAATTAGAATATTATAAGGAAAACATTTTGTTAATAAATAGGAGAGATAATTAGAAGATTTTGGGCTAGAATCTAGACCCAATTCATAGACTAATTAAAAAGAAGAAAAAGGGAAGAAATTAGCTTATTGTGTGTGTGTCATCTGAAACTAAAATACTCGCGGGAGGAAACTTATTAGAGGAGATCATCGAGGAAGACACAGATTAGCAACCAAAGCTATAGTATTGCGTTGTTCTACAAGATCATCACTTCAAGTAAAGGGGAGTGAGATTATTAGATCCATTGGACATATATGAGGGATAAGGGTAGAGAGGTAATTCCTAAGTCCCATAGAGGTTGTTGAATTTGATCTATGTGACTACTTATGAATGAACTGATGCTTTATTTTCTGTATGAACTCGTAAAGTTTGACTGATTGAATGAGTTACATGATTTGAGGACATATTATTATTATTTGAGTGTGAATAATTTGATTGACCAATTGGATAATGAATTGAAGTAAAAGGATGTGTATGAATATATTGGGGTTAGGATTTATGTATGATTTGAGGGTTTTGGTGTACTTTCTTTAATTTTGAAAATTTTTCTATGAACATATTAGTATTTAGGTAATTTTTGTCTACATGATTAATCAAATAGAGTTTTGTTTATTGGGTTAAAAATTAGACATTTAGAGCTATAATTTAGACTCAAAAATCATATAAAAATGTTAAGAAACAACCAAATTATGTGATTTACAAGATGAGTTTCATGTTTTATGCATGAAACATAATGTCTGAAAACTATAAGCATTGTGAGGACTTATAGATGACCAAATTAAGTTTTGTGGTTATAAGCATTGCAAGGACTGATAGATGACCAAATTAAGTTTTGTGATATTCATAATAGTTTTAGGATTGGATGTTATTTTTCCATTGGTACTGGAACTGATGGAGGACCATCCTTAGACCAACATGTGGGACCCATCACTAGGTTCATGGCTAGAAGAGTGGAGGAGGATAAAGGAGCTAATATGTCTATAGACGTGCTCCTCGTGATTATAAAGTATTGATCATTCTCTTAAGCCTTGTTAGAATGAGATTTATTTTTTATTTCCTATTTTACCCTTGTATTTTGGGATGTCCTAGATGATAGCATTTTATTTTATAGCTAGAGAATTATGGTAGGATTGGTGAGATGGCCTAGACGCATTTTTTAGTGATTTTTGGAGTTATTTTGGATTTGGAGAAGCTTAGGCCCAAGAGGAGGGCACATGGGTTGCATAATCTTATTATGCACCTAGTTGTAGCTTAGTCAAACCAAAGATTCCATCCTTGGTCACCAAGTTGGCGTGACATCTCTAGGGTTCATTTGGCTTGAATTAATTTGTGTTGCATTTCCTTCACATTTAGCATGGAAATGTGCACATTCCTAAACCATAACCGTCACCCTATGCACATATCCATGACCTAACATCCTAATCTATATATACCCTAGGTTATGCTCCATGTATTTACTTTGGATTATATGATATTGAGAAACCCTTTGTGCCTTAGGATCTATAGTCCCTTAGGTCAATTTGGCCACCTTCATCCTATCTCCCCCTTTAGTAATTGTTGCAACCTGAAAATTTTCGATCTTACAACTAATGGTTTAGACATCTTTTTGAAAATTTCATCAATTAAGGAATGCCCGGACACCAGACTAATCCTTAATTAATAGTTTTGAAAATAGGATTATGGAGTTGCCACCAATGTTTTACTCAAAACAATGGGAAAAGAAAAGGTTTTTAAGGATCCAATAATGGCATTGATAACCAGGATTGGGTTCGGGGGTCGGTTACGTGTAGGGAAGGTATTAAGAACCCCTAAAACTCCCTCAATCGGTACCCTATGATGAAGTTAATATGATAAGAAATAATAAATTAAATATTAGATCCCCTTTATGAATTACTATTTACATGCTTGATATTTAAATTACACGGTTGACCCTAAAACGTCTACATGATTGCTCTTGTTATAACAAAAAAATAAGGGTCTATTAAAGATGAGAAATAAAAGATAGAGAAGAAGATAAATATGAAAAGTAAAAGATAGAGAAGAAGATTGATTGAAATACCTCGTAGCAAGCTTTGTTAGATCTTCAAATATGGAAAATCTAGGTGCTTTGTGGCAACCTTTCTCACTACAATTGCCTCACCAAATCTTAAGAAATACAATAAAAGGGAAAGAGAGAGAGAGAAAGAGAGAAATTTCGAGCTCAAAGGAGTCTTATACGAAATTTTCTTCCAGCCTTGAGAACTGTGCCCGATTCTCTTATTTATAAACATCAAAAAGTTTCCACAACAGCCCGTTCTAGATTCGGAACGACCCGTTCTGGATCTGTACGTTATGTGTTAATTTTCGTATCTTGGAACGGCCCATTCTGAAACTAGAATGGCGTGTTCCAAAGTTGAGTTTAATACATAACTGTCTATGTTGAAACGGCCCGTTCCAAACTAGGGTTTTAAGCCTTTTTTGTAACTTGGAATGGCCTGTTCCTGTTTAGGAACGACCCATTCCAATTTGGGAACGACCCATTCCAATTCAGGAACAGTCCGTTCCAACTTGGGAATGGCCCGTTTTGGTTTTGGAACAGCCCATTCCGGGCTATTAAAACCAGCTTATTTGGGCTTTAGGCCTTCTGATGTCATGTCTTGTTGTTCCCATGCTTCAGGAGCTCCTTTCCTTGATAATGAAAGTCCATTTCCTTGTTTGTATGCCCCCGAACGAAATTGGGTGTTTACAGTAATCAAACCCTACGAATGGCCTTCATCCACCTTGAAGTGAGTCAAACCCTAGAGTGCTACTCAAACCTTTCATCAAACACTTTTCCTACATTATCACTTTCGACCATCAACATCATCCAAGGCTAAAGCACTTGAAGAATCATGATCCTTGGAGTCAAGGAGACCTCCCATTGGTAGTTCTTTCAATTCATCCATCAATGGTTAAAGGGTTTCCATCATGTGATATCAGAGCCAAGGTTCTTGAAGGGTAATCTCTAGTCTATTTTGGTTCCTTAAAATTTTGGTCATGTCACTAGTCTTCCTGATTATCTTGAAGTTGGGCTAAATAGATCATTGTCATGTTATATTCTCTTGGTCTATATTGGTTGTCTTGCTTGTGGATTCATGCCATAACTATCTTGTGAATCATCTTGGTGCCTTAAGTTTTTTATTTTAGGTTTGAGTTACTAGAAGAAGAAAAAATTGTTGCATGAGAAATATTGATGAACATATGTTTTATTTTATAATCTATCCAGATTTGTCATAAAAGTTTTGTTCCTACTAATTTGTCTTGAAAGAAATTCCAAGTATTCATCCTTAAACACTTTTATGATCAAAATATGAAGTGCATGCTACATGTTTGTTGAAATGGTTGTGAGTCCTAGAGAGCTTTATAGAGTCATTCATGCATGGTATTTAGTTCTAGCATGTTCCATGTTATTTAAACTTTCATGTGTTATTTGTATATTTGCACATACTTCTAAACTTTGGACCATTTGTGATCAACATCTATTTGCACTTAAATTAACAATGTTTTACTTGATAATTTGAGGTTGAAAGTTGATTTTATGTGCTTATTTTACTATTGGACCATAAATGCACATTAAAGTCTAAAATAAACTCAAGTTATTGTCTCCTTAATCCATCACTAATTGTTAAAAGAATACTCCAAAATTTTGCTACTAGAATTCAACAAGCACAAGTGCAAAACCCAAGCAAAGGAAGAAAATAAAATTTAAAAATAATAAAAATAATAATAAATAAAATAAAATAAAAAAGAAGAAGAAGAAGAAGAAGAAGAAGAAGAAGAAGAAAAGGTGGCTGGACAAAGAAAACAAAATTGTGCCAGAAAAAAAACAAGGTGAAAGGATACTACAAACAAAAGGAAACCTTTGCTAGACTTATGAACTTGTGGACAAATTTTCCTACCTT